TCAAGAGGACTGAGACAACCATAATTTAGTCAAGTAGACAAAATTATTATTGAGTATTGTGTGATTTTCTTTGTTTGCTTTTTTTTAACTTCTTGCGCTGTTTTTACTACTTTACCCAGGATAAACAACCAGAATAGTGCGAACAATTACAACTCATATTTTACACATGCTGATCAAAATCTGTGGTGCTAGTTGGCTGTACAAGTAGGTATGTCATTATAAAATTATTCAAGCAATGTCAGTTTACATCATACTTACACTTTGGGCCTGGGGTCCACCAATTATGAGTCTGGCTGACTGTTGGATCTGATATTAAGCATTTTTCTCATTTTTGTAATCATTGTTTTTTAAAAATTGATTTCAAAGTTAGTTTAAAAATTGTGCTATTATGGCTCTGGTGCGGTTTCCTCTCTCTGTCTGAAGTCACTCTGAGATCCCGAGCAAAGTTCCACCCACAGCACTGACTGGTTGGTTACAGGTCACAAGTAATAGCCTATCAATATAAAAAAATAAATGTTGGTATTGGTATCGCCCCTGAAAAAAAACTGTTGACCCCTAATGATGGTTATTAGGTTGTTTTAGTGTGACTCCAGTTAGCATCGGTGGCTAATGCAAAAACTAGTTGGTTAAAATTAGAAGCTTTTTTTCTTTACAGACTCAGATCCTTCCTGCCTGATGCATAAAGAACCATTTAGCTGTTAAGAATGAATGGTCTATTGGTGATCATTGTATATATCTAAAAAAATAAAAAATAACTGAGGAGAAAGAGGAGATTACAATTTTGGTTTCCAACAGCTGATCAACTCCAATACTGACATGTAAAATGCTTAATTCTTACAAACCAGCCCATGTAGACAAAATGAAATGAAATGAAATGAAAAATACTTTATTTATCCCAGAAGGGAAATTCAATCTTGTAAAAGCTCACTTTTTTTTCTTTTTTTTTAAAATCAACATAACATATATTCTATAAAACAACAACAATCATTCAGTCAGTCAAATTTGTTTTTTAAGGTGATGGCTGTTGGCAGGAAGGAATTCCTGTATCTCTCCGTTCAACAGCAAAGCTGACGCAGCCTCAAAAACAAAAAAAAAGGCTCAAAAATCACTTTCAACTTGGGTAGATCTAACATTAGAACGCTTTAATTCAAATCAAACTATTTTTGGTTACACATCTGTCTCAGTTGCTGCACTATAGCCGAGGGGAGACTAGAGGCTTCTCTGTGCACTAGTTAGTGAATACCGTAGCCTGCGTATGAGGCATTTAGGGAGCATCTGTAAATCGTAGCGTCTACTATAAGCAGATGTTCAGCAAGTAAAGAGTTTAGCCCAGATCCCTGATTTACTTCAGTTCTAACCCACTACTTTAAACTGACATTTATAATTACTATTAATTTTACAAACCTACACTGACAATAAAAAAAACGTAAGTTTAAAAAGTATGATTGCGTAAATGAAACCACTCACCAGAACATAAAATAAAGTCAAACACAGACAGCTGTGACATTAAAATGCTGCTGACATGTTAGTGCATCAGTAATATAGACACTAATTATTAACCTATTCTAAAACACTTCTTCCACCACTGTCTCCACCATCAGTTAACCCGTAAATCTGCATTTCTCTTCCAGCTGTGAATTCCCACTCTTCTTAATATCTCCCTCACTTTGTTTTTCATATTTTTTTTTCTCCTCCTCCCCTTTTTTTAAAATCAATTTTCTCCACTTGCCTTCTGCTCACTTCTTTCTTTGTTGTTTCCATTTCCTACACCCCATCTCTGCACTAAGCCCTCTCCATCACTTTCATCCTCAGAACTGAATTACTTTATCTCTTCGTTTTCCCATCCCTTGCTCTGTCTTTCATTCTCTTTCCTTCCCGGGGGAGTAGTAATGGGATGATGGGTGGGTGGGCAGTCATCAGGAGTTTGGCCATGCAGCAGAGGCCTCTCTCTCCCCTCCCACCACCTCCTGCAGCCATCCATCTCCATAAGCACAAACCGAGTGGGAAGCTGCAGCCAGCCTCAGCGTTTCCTAAACCTACATCCATCGGTTAAAGCACAATGCACATATAAAAGTGCACACCTAAGACAATCAAAACAGAAAGTGGTAAGAAGGACAGCACACAGTGAGACAAATCCAAGCAATTCGAAGAAAGCACATGGCCTCAAATGCACATGACACTACAAAAAAAAAAACTGTCCTCATATCAACTCGGTCATAGCACATGCTTTTGTAACTTTACCTACTTCATCTAACCAGACACCCACACTTGAACTGGGATGATCTCATTCTGCTCTTTCACAAAGTCAGTCTCTCTATCGCCCTCAATCTCTCTCCTTAGAAAAACCTAGAAGCAATTTGTCCTTACAAGCCGGTCTGAGATCAATGTCTAAAAGGCAAAGGCCTCCCGCCTCAGAAAGCCTGCAGCCAAGCTCCTCTTCCAAGGCTTTAAATCACTAGATTATTGGTTTTATGAGTGTGACCCATGCGAAAATAATTGCTAATGTTCCAAGAGTAACCAGTGGAAAGGTGGGTAATGGGGCAATTTATAAATTCTGATTGTAATACATGGAAAGCATCCAGGCCATCTCCTCGCTGTTGTTTTATAGCTGCTCATAAAAGCAGGCCAAGCAGCACAACAGTTGCGGTGACCACACGGCAGAGATTGAAATCAATACTGCTGCCGCGGTATTGTCGCTTTTGTTTCTGTTCATTTGTTGTTTGAGGGGGAGGAAGATTTTAAGGACGAAAACCAGAGTCTCAGTCTGTGATAATATGCCGTCTGCTGAATATACGGAACAGCTTCAGAAATGTCATTAAAATCATCAAATCTTCACGGCCACAAGGCTTGACATGTGCTCACATTAGAGGCCCATTCAGGTCCTTGTGTCTGAGACCTAAGGGGATATTTCTTATTTATTTATAGTTTTTCAAAGGCAAGTTGCTACAGCTGTGATTTATGCTTCTGGTTGGCATCTTTGTCACAGAAAAGTTTCCCGTGGCTCATGGGTAGTATTTTGAGACATCCACCATGCGAACATGAAAATAAATTACTTCTTTTTCCTGGTACGGCACAAAGATTGTATATAAAAGATTGACGTAGCCTCTAGGGTCTGAAAAGTGAAGTCAATGCAGAAATGCCCTACACTCTGGTTGCAAAAAAAGATTGTATCTCTGTGAGAAAATGACCATATGTGTCATTTAATCTGTTACCTCAGTAAACATTTTCTAACAAGTCTCAATTGCTCATTTTCAGTCTTTTTCGGTGCAGCATGATGTTCGTTTAGCAAAGTATGCTTTCATTTAGAGTAAAACAGACAATAAATCAGGGTGTTTTAGGGCAGGGCTGTCTTGTAATTGACAGGTTGCTGCTGTATAGGTGTACGAAGTGTCCTCAGATAACCCCCTCAGTCGTTATGTCCAAAATGCCAAATGCCAAACTCGAAGCTTCAAAACAGTAGTCCACAAACCAATGGGTGACATCACAACATCATTTATATACAGTTTATGGCTGTAATCTGGCATCAACATCCTCTGTGGCTCATGGGTAGTATTTCGAGCAAACTGCCATGTGAAGCTAAAATTAAATTACGTTTTTTTCTGCTATTACATACATATGTTGGCATCTGTGTGCGTCCTGTATTGTCCTTTCAGAAAAAAGAAACTCAGAAGCCAAAGGATAGAAATGTCAGTTTTGTATTCTACAATCACTTGTGCTTTTGCATTAATGTGTTGGCACAGCATCAGTCCTCTGTGTACAAAGCAGGACTTGTTTCCATCCAGCCGATTAAACCTTTGAATAAAGTAGTAACGTCACTGGGCCACAGGCTTAAACAACAGCCCACGTCAGTTTCCCTGCTCATGTCTCCGTCTTATCTAACTTACAAACATGAACCTTAGATTCTCGAACAAGCCACCAAACAAACATCCACAGGGGAAAGAGTGCACCGCTCAGTTTACAGGTTGGATAGCTAATTAGCTGCTCAGCTGCAGCACATTAAACAGCACGTAAACATATCTGCGAATGTCACTTGGGTCTGTTTAGATGCTGGTGGGGTCCTTCCTGTATAATACCATTAAAAAAAAAAAAAACACAGCGACTACATCAGATGTTGGACCGAGCTGCCCTTCCTGTAATTGGTATCGGAGCTCAGATGATATAGACGTTATTTACAGTTTTGGCCTTTCTTTTGTTTTTACAGACAACATGTATACAAATATTTTTTTCTGTCATTGTACTAGTTATTTGTAAAATAACATTTGAAAAAAATATTCAACCATTTTTATGCCTTTTTACATATTTTTAAAAAATAATCTGTATGTGTGAAATGACATTTTTTTGCTGATTTAAGTACAGTAAGAAATAGTGTAATTTCACAGTCAAACATTGTAAAAGAACACTTTTTTGATGTGGACATTATTCACACTTATGGCTTGTTGTTCTTTGCAGTTAACATGTAAATTAATCCTTCTGTTCTGTGATATCACTAGTCATTACCTGTAATTTAACAAAACAAGGAAAATCTGTAAAACAACAGTGATTTGTTCAAAAATGACAGATGAAAACTACTAACAAACATTAATTTAAGTGCTTCAAATAGTCATAACTGATGACCACAATACATCAGCTCTGTTAAATTGTCCAGGAGACTCCCCTCCTAAGGGACACGGACGTTATCAAAGTGAAATTAAAGTTTCTAAAATAGATTTTTTTAGAACCTGCAGCTTCTCTGTCTCCTGAACTTTTTCTAACCACCTCTGCCTTTCACCTGTGTTCACTTCTGAGGTGAAGTGCAGCTCCTGAGCCGAGTGTGTGTTCAGATACCACCTGCTGTGTGGCTCTAACAGCACACACACAGAGAATAAATGGAGGTCTCTGGCCTTGAGCCTAATGACACCCCACTCCTTTCCTCCTTCAAGCCTCACCACAGCTCTGGTCTGCTCTCCTTTGGTCCAGTCAGCAGGACACCACAAATAGCCCATTCCCTCTCTCCACGGCTCCCATAACCATACAGGCGTGCATGGGACTTCGGTAATTTTCCACTATGCTTAAGTAAGTGTGTGTTTGTGTGGGATGTGTGCTTGTGCCCATAGGAAGTATACATTTATCTTAATATTTGTCCGCATGTGTTATGCATCTTTGTAACTAAACATTTGTAGAGCACATAACGACATGCAAATGCAATGCAGATTTGAAGTGTGTGTCGTACAGATGGTCTACACACACACACACACACACACACACGTTTGATTTACTTCTGTCTTCATTGTGTGACTGTATCGGTTGTTTTTTTTATTCGCACGCACAGACACTCAGCTTTAGACAAATTCATTCTTGCAGTGGCATCACACGTGTACACACACACTTTGGTAATGGCAAGTTGTGTAAATGCAGTAAATTGTCTTCATGTGGTAATACTGCATGTGTCACACAACTCCACCCTAAACAGACAAACTCAGACTTACACTTTGTGTATCTAAATGCACACGACGTGTTCCTTCGCCCTCCATTTTTAAGACCTTAACTCACGACTTCCTCAATATTAGAAACACACACTGGATGGAGTCAAAAAGAGAAGTCAAAACAGGCCGCAGATGCATTTGGTTCTAGTGTGGTTAATAAAAGCTCTGGGGTAACGGTTTGAGGCAGCGTCTAATTCAGTCCACATTCAGTTAGAGGGAAGCCGCAGTGCTTGTGGGTGGTCCAGGGCCTGTCTGCACTGCCATTTTCTTCTGATGTCACATGTTTAGATTTAAGGCTCAATTTGCTCTCCTTTCTCTCTGCTGCAGCAACTAAATGTGCTCAGAAGTAAAGGACAAGTGAAAGGGATCCACAGGCGGAGAGGAGAAGTCCAAATGTAAAGCTTTTTTTTTTGAGGGGGGGGAATTTAAAACAGATGAGCAGACTAGCTTTTGGGATGTTTGCGCTTTAGGCCCCCTTTATAGATACAAAAGCTGTGAGAATGTTATTCTGTTTTTACAAGACAAATAACACAAACAGAGAAATGAGAAGGCAAGAGCCTACAGCTTGTTCAGTGCATTGACAAAAAAAAAAAAAAGTAATTTGATCCACCCCTGAGAAATTCAATAAGGCGCAGAGATCTCAATCTAAAATCCCTCAGCCTCACTATTCCATCAAATGCATCAACGTGATTTCATATCTCCAAACGTAAACCTCGGCGAGCGGCTGATGAAGAGTAATCCATCTTGATCAGAAAACAATGCGATGAACAATCCCTCTAATGTATTGATGTTGACAACTTAGCCATGAGATTGTCATTGCGGGTTTGTGGGCGAGCAGTGCAGCAAAAACAATGTGCTATCGATGCGTCCTGTGAAGCACCGTTTGCAAAAAGACGGAAACCAATACATCTAAATCTTGTAGGTGTGTGCTTCATGCGCACTCACACATACACACACACAAGACACACACACCTCGCCTGCTCTGTTTGACACATTTGAAATACAGCGTGTCATCTTGCACATCGATGCACATTTACACACCCACAGACGTGTGTGTGCGCGAGTTCACATACACACAGTTTCCATCCCACTTTTGTTCCTCGTCTTGGTTGCGGTGTATTATAGGTCACAGTTATGCAATTGTGTAGGGGTAGCCTATTTTCTCCACACCTCTTTCTGTCTCTCTGACTTTTCTTTCTTCCTTTCTCTTTCTTTAAACTGCTTGACTTTTTGCACCAAAAAAAAAAGACAAAAAAAAGTTTACGGTTTACTTTAAACTGACAGTTTGTCCATTAATAACACAGGAAATTAACTGGCAGCTATTTTAATAACTGTTTCTAGCATTTTACATGTGAACATTTGCTTGTTTTGTATTATATTAAACTGAATATTTTGGTGTTTTAGGATAAAAGGTGGAAAAATCAAGCTATCTGAATATAGAATCTTTAGCTTTTTAAGTGTAATAAGCTTTTTAAAACTATTTTATGACATTTTTGGACTAAATTATCAAATAATCAATTAAAAAATGGCCACTTGCATCCTTAAGTGACTCTGCTGTGTTACTGTTTTCATAAACACCTGCAAAGACAGCAATTCCTGGCCTTCTTATGATACTTGCATTGCGTTAGTGAATCTTTCGATCTGTTAATACCATCAATTCAGACGAGAAAAAGGTGGACTACTTTCTAAAAATCACGTTTACAGCACACAACTGGTAATATGCCTTCATACTGTTTTTATTGCGTGACTTACGAGTGTTTTTGTCAGAGTTCTGCTCGTTGTTTTTTGTAGCTTTTGCTTGCAGTTCTGCTGTGCGGTCGTCAGCGGCTTCCAACCACGTCAGCCAGACAAGAAGAGCACGTCTGCTGTCTGCACACATCAGTGACCACATGCAGACATGCTTCTACACACACACGTACCCACACACATGATAGACACATCAGATATGAAAGATGTAAGTAGTGTGTGAACCAATTTGTTGGCCCCTCTAAGCACGTGTGCGAAAAGCGCTCTGACACTTTGCACCGAGACAAACTGCAGCACTTAGCAGCAGGCAGATAAGGCCAAAACTCATCTGCTTCCATTCTGACTTATCGTCTAGATTACCCTGACAACTCTGACAACGTTGCACATGCTCAGATAGAAGGATAAGTTCGGTTTAGGTCAGAGGAGGGTAAACATGCAGACGGCACATGTTGGAGGAGCATGTGTTCAAAGCTTGAGGGATAAGAGCAAGAGAGAAGAAATGTGTTCTGTTCTGTTCAGTCCAGTCATGTTGGTTGTCTGGCTCTGGAAAACGGAATATTCATTAACAGTAAGATGTATCCAAATATAAACGGAAATATATCGGCTTACTGTGCGGTAATTTGTGGTTTTTCAAGACTGAATTTGTACTCGGTTGTCAAGAAATCCCAACACAATAACGGCACGCAAATTAACAGAAAAATAGCCAAAGTTTCTGTGCAGGTTTTGCTCATTATGTTTGTGTGGGAGACGTCTGTTTGGAAGGATAAACAAGATTCTACTTCCCCCCCCCTCCCCATTTGCGACGAGTTCCACTTATGTCTATCTGATTTAGTTTGGCTGGTAGGGGGAGTCAATTTGCATCCTGCTTCTTTCTTTATTGAGAAGAAAGAGAAAAGGAATCATAGTGAACAATGTCTCACCAGTTGCCATGACAACCCAACATACCCAATAACCCGTGGAAAAAAAAAAAAAAAGTGGTTGTGTAGCCGTCGTACACATAGGAGCACTCTGTCGGCCATGGTTTGAGGGCAGAAGCAAATCTTGTTTACAGAGCACAGACTTGCTCGCTCACACACACACACACACACACACACACACACACACACGCACAAGCAAACTGCACGGAAACAATCTATCCACTTCACCACAAAAAAACCTTCAAGCAGCTCTGTCGGCACATCCTGTGTAGATGTGAGCCACCGGAGAATACAGTAACCCACAACTGCATGTGGTGTTACAGTTTCTACGTCAGATATCCGCACCGAAACAAGCTGTGTAACACAGTGAGAAACTAAAAGAAAAGACCAAAACACTTTATTTAACATTTGCTGAAAAGCTGCTGAGAAGAAGGTTGCAAAGTGCCGACTCGTCCTTTAGATTATTCTGGTAGACGTGAGTTTGAGACGTAAATTGTGTTAGCGCAGACGGAGGAGGAGGAGGAAGAGGAAGAAGAAGAGCGCTGCGTTTAGAAAAGCTGCTACTTGTGGCTTTTGGGTTTGTGGGCTTTTGTATAACATATAACGGTTCATTTTCCCTGTCAGCGTATTTAGGCCATGTAAGCCACCGCTGGGGTTGTGAGACAACAGAAGTGTTGAGAACAAAAGATGGGTGGTAAAAATAGTCACGATTAAGGCCGACCTGAATGTCTGGAAGCTTCTACAACTGTCACGACAATGGGCATCCAAATTAGGGGGATGTTTTTTTCAGGGCTGATACCAAATATTAAAAATCACAGAAAATGACAATCAACACTCTTATGAATGCACTTTGTTTTACATTTCAGTTGTATGGAAACTGCTACAAAGTCTGATTAATTAAGTGATTAAAACTTGATAATTGTTACCACTACACAGTTGCAGTAAAAACTAAAGTCAAAATCTAGAATAACACAAACTCCAACATGAAACTTGACTAGTATGTTTATTTCTGTTTTAAACTGATTTAGCTAAAAGAGAACTTTTCATTATTTATCCTGCCGTTGATAGGCTGTTATTCTGACATGGAAACAATGCTGTGGGCAGCGTATTGCTCGAAAGCACAGAGAGGCTACAAATAGAGTGAGGTGGCAGCTTGAGAGGCATAGTAGCACATTTTTTAATTAATGTATTTAACTGGGAATACGATTTTTTTTTTTGCTTTTAAACATTCGCAGTAATCAGAGAAATGCTGGATCTGATAATTAACCAGGTTGATAATCCAATCAAAATTGTTTTTTATTATTATTGTTGTTATTACATGTGTATTACCACAAAAATCCCAAACAGCCCATAAATAAGAACTAGCAATCCAGCACAACCCAATACATTTACAATACACAATACATATGATTATCCGTTGCTCATAGACAACCATTAATCTTGGTGATAACTTTGTGCAGCACAGCTCTCATCTAATGCTACCAGCACTGACACAGTGTTGGCACGTCACAATCTTTTAAGCTACAACTACGCTACCAAGACGTCAAAAAGTCATGCGCCAGATATGTCAAAGAAAACTTTAGGTTACAACTTTGCCAGCTTGCAATTATTAGAAGTTTCTTTTTTCGTGTATGGCTGATGTTAGTGCAGCTTACATGCCAACAAAGTATGAAGTCAAGTGTATCCACTGTGGCTGACTGTCATGTTACTGTAGGTTGAATCACTGACAGTTGGTTGTAACGGACAACTGGTTTAAAAACTATGTACACAAAAATCGGCCTTGTAACATTTAGTTTTCAAGCTCATCTGTACCAGTCTTGTCTGAGAAAAATATGTGGCCTGTGTAAATTTGTGAAACATTTAGATAAAATTTAATATGGTGGTCGCATCAGTTCGGCTGACATAACAAGTTGACACGTCTCAGACTTGAGCCCGTGCTAAAATCCTTGAGGAGAAACATGAAGCTTTGTGAAAAGAATCAGGGGACTGTTCCTAAAACTTTATGTCTTATGGTTCTTAGGAATGCCCTAGCATCAAATGCCAGAAAAAGACAGAAGAAGATGATGTATAAGAAGAAGAAGAAACATAATCACTGCTTGGACCCAGTGAAGCCAGTCTTTGTAACAAGCCAGAGCTGTTGGTTTAAAACTCATCAAATCCCAATTCTAAAACTTCACTGACGTAAGTCTACCACATTGATTTCTTTCATATTTTTGTTGCTGTCTGACTGAGAACATGTACAGTACTTTGGCAGGTTGCTTTAATCCTGATATACATACTGAAAAGAGGAAATTATGGAGTCAGCGTTTATTAACTCTCTAACAATGCAACTTAGATACCGCTTGACTCCGCACCACCTTTTTCTCAGCTGCAATATATGCTCTGCTACATGTGCTGCAGATAGCGTATTGTAAACAATGGCAGTTGGAGCCACTTTTCTGGACTATCTATTTCTAAAAATAAATAAATAATACATATATATCTGTTGGGCTCTAGCTTACAAGGCAACACAGTGTTCATTCATGTTTTTCCATCTAGTTAAATACAACATGTACTTTTCAGATAGTTGGTGGTATGATTATCTATCAGGCATGACTCCCTTGTTTCCTTGTTTTAGCAAACAAAAGAATTCATAAAACCTCGCACAGGAGTACAAGGCACAGCTGGCTTCATATATATACTTGACATTTGTTGGACAGATCATTAAAGATTGAATACTCATTTTTCTCCCATTGTACGGTTTTGAATAAAAAACTGACAACCTTAAAGTCTGAATGCTACCCATTGATACTGATCCATACAAATTAAGCAAGTGAAATACATATGAATAAAAACCTGCAGGCTGCCGAGGACGGTTCACACACAATGAGCAACATAACTTATACTGAGCTGTCTTGTATTCGTGTTGTCATACCAAACTACATTTTTTGGTCTGACTTGTTTGTACCCAATCATTTGCGTGTTTACATGCCTAAAACAAGCTCTGCGGTGCATTTACAATACTGTGTCGTTCTTGCAGTGAGTTAGCAGCAGTTTAGCTGCGACTGTATAAATTAACAACTCTGCTGTGTTGCTGTGTCAGACATTGTTTGGGTGTGAACAAAGCGCTCACACGCGCAGACAGTGTCACCCTTCAGTCAGATGTCACTGTTCAGAATGCTTTTTACTCAAAGGAACAAATACATTCCCTAACTGACCTGACACCAGCCTGTGGCCCGGGCTCAGCTTCTAAACAAAACAACTGGACAGCAGGACAGGAAGACAGCCTGTACTTGGCGTAGACTTGCTAATGAGCTCATTCTAGGCAGCAGAGACACCGTATAACCCCCATCACCCTGCAGGAACTCAGCAGCAAACAGTGTAACCTCATTTCCTGGGGCTTCCTTAACTTTTCAGAACCTCATTAGGATTGTTCCTTGTTTGTTTAACAAACTGGGATTTTTATCAATGCCCAATCTACAGCAGGAACAACTCTGTTCTTTTAAGATGCTGATTTAGTGAATGAATAAAGGCCACATGAATACTGTGATTACCTTGTGATCACTGTTTACCGTCATTGATGCTGTGATGAAACATCTGCTCAATCAATCCTGATCAATAGCAATGATTGAAAGGTATATAGAACTTGCATTTGTTATCTCTATTAATAAGCAGGAGCTTCAACCCAAACAGATGACGAACTGCTGGCTGCATATTATTATTTTCAATACCAAATAATTAGATTTTATTTTCTCGACTACTGGATTCATTGTTTAGTCTATAACAAAAGATTCAAACAGACTCCTACACACTGCCAAACTTGCAAAATTACATTTATTAGCACAACATTTCAGTGGCAACTTTGTCTGTCGCCTTATATTAAAATAACCTAATTTGTTTCATTTAGGTTTCATTTTGTTTCACTCATTTAGGCGTGGTTGTGTTTAATATAAGCAGTTTAATATCACACATAACAAAAATAGTTTCAAAGAAGTTGTGAACAGAGAATGTTTAGGAAATGATTGAATCTCAAGCCTTTTATTAAAACAGCCGCTTATTAATTTTCTGCTGATTAATTCATGAACCCATCTCAGAATTTATAACTATGCAGACCTTCTCCAAGCCAAGTACTACTGACAGAAAAGGACAATAAGGTAAGCTTAGACACAATGTTCTATTTGGTTAACACAAATGTGTGCGTAGATAAACAGACTGTAATATGTTGTGATAATGCGTACATGAGGTTGTCCCAAAGATTGGTGTCAAGCAGGAGTTGTTGGTCATTAGTTCTGCTCAGCTCTTGTGACTGGCGTGCCACATTACCTTCTAACAATGCAAAACTTTCACACATAGCTCACTGCAAATTGGCAAAGTCGCACCACCAAACAACACACAAACACACTACTGTAAGGCACATATGACAAATCACTGTGAAGATGAAAACAGCCCGTCTGGAGCTGTTTCATAAACACATCTTCCCCAGTGGCTGGACATTACAAGATCTGATATTTCTTTTACTATAAATACACACCGTCTTTTACTATATGTAACACAAAGTGAGAATTTAATGCATGCGCACATACGGACTGTGATTTGTGACTGTTTTGGTGCAGATCTTCTCAATATTGTGGCTGTTTGCACACTGCACTCAGGTCAAATCCTCTTCTGAATGTGTACAGCATGCAGTCACGGGAGATTAAGTTGCTTTGCATGAATGTTGCCAAACAATTACTATTTGCAAAACAGTAGACAATAAGTTGACAGTGCTACAAAGTGTGGCCCAGAATCAAATTCCTACTGATTAGAAATGCACAAACAGAGGATGACATACTGTACACAGCCCCCGGTGTGGACTAAAACTGCCAGCAAAATCCGCAAATTAAAATGTAAAGCTGGTCTAAGCACCACCTTGATGAAATCCCATATTAAGCCGAGCAGGCAGTCAGTGTGCACTGGAGGGAATGAGAGTGAAGCCAAGCCAACAGGGAGTTCTGCCTCCTATCTCGTCCCCCCGTCCCCTTTTCTCCACTATCATTACCTTGCCTGTCACTCCCCACGCAATTTCCTCCCATTTCTCTCCCTGTTCTTTTTTTCTCTCCACTTTTTCACTGGCTGTCTTTGTAACCTCTCCCTCGTCACTAACAGTTTCCCTCCTTCGTTCCTTCTTTACCTCTCTTGCTTTTTCTTTTTCTCCCCCTTCCTCCCTCCCTCCTCTTCCCTCAGGTTGTTTCCTCCTCTCTCTATCTGTAGGTGCCACATCTGGCAGCTTTCAGCTCCAGACTAGGCCTGCCTGGCTGGGAGAGAGAGAGAGTGAGATAATCGGGCTAATCCCTCCGTCATCCCAGAGGCTATCACGCTACTCTATAACCCCCTAATCCCTCTAATTCCCTCACACTCTGCAGTCAGCCTCGCTGTCAGACACATCGGGATCCTTATCGCCAGGCAAGAGCTGCAGGCACAGTGTGTGTATGTGTGCGTACGTTCATGTGTGTGTGTGTGTTTCTCAGTGGCTTCCTTTTAATCAGTGAGGGATGTCTGTGGCCTTGCAGCCAGACTGACCTGACCCAGGCTTTGAGGAACTTTGGCAAATGGATAAACAAACCATATCCATGCAAAATAAGGAACACATCCAGAAGATAAACACTCTCGCTTTGCGCTTTTGATGCTTCCAATTAAAGCTCTGTATGACAATGTTATCCCCCCCCTCCCTGCCTTCCTCCTCCTCCTCTCTTTCTCTCTCCCTTTTCTTTCTTAGCAAAGGCTGGTGCAGACGCGAAGGAGTGCAGTAACAAAGAGACGAATATGTGCAAGCGGACCGTGATCAATAAACACACTTTATACGCAGATTCGACGGAGATGGAAGCTGGGATTTGGAAGGTAATAACAGCTCCAAAAACTCCATCTCACATTGCCAACAGTTGATCACATCATCACAGATTATATTGATTGATGTATCAAAGGGAGTAGAGGGCAGGAGGGGAGGCAGCACTTCATCTGAGCAGAGCTGGGATAGTTCAGCTCTTGTTATCTGGTGTAAAGAGGAAGCTGAACGGGCAGGACAACCGTGGATGATCCAGTCATGTTTATCAGCATCATCGCTGACTGCACCCTTTGAACTCTGTGAAAAATAGTCTCACGAGCAAAGGCTGCAGGGTGGGCGAAGGGTTAGCAGGTTATTTTCTCCTGGATGCTCTCACCGGAGGACCGTGAGAGTGTGAGTGAGTGTGCATGTGTGTTATTGATCCACGCTCCTATTTAGCAGCATGTTATTTATCATGCTTGCTGCTCTGTGGGTGCCAGCGGATTGCATGATTGGAATTCGGCCATGTGCCTATGAATATCTGTGTGTCTATCAGTCCATTAGGGATGGGCAGTGTGGCAATTATATTAAGTTATTTTCGTTAATGTTAAGAGAAATATCAGAAGATAAAATAAGTCAGTCATACCTGTCAATAAAAATCCTTTTTAGTCGATTCAGAACCTTAAAAAGGCCCCAGAATTGTAGAGAATAACAATCATTTGAACAGTTCTGCTTGATTTTAACCATCCACACCATGTCTTTTATCAATATTAGCCTATGAAAAGGTCAAAACCCAGAGAGTAATGCTACGGTCTATTAATACGATGCTTCTCTGAACCATCGCCTAAATCAATGCTGCTTGAGTCAAGGGATAGGTCTAATTCCTGGTAGGGCTGCACACTTATGGACACAGTGATAGTAATGTTAGTTTAGTGATAATAATGTTAGTTTGCATAGTCTTGAGATCAAAACTATGCACTGATTTTAGGGCTGAAAGGAGTAAAAGACAACTGTAATCAGAACGACTCACGTCCTAAATATCTGCTTTTCAAAAGATAGTACAATTTATATACGTTCCAAAGAAGCCTTACACGCAGGCTACCGTTGATGATGGCGAGTTAGCTGTGCACGGAGAAGCCTCTAGTCTCCCCACTAAGACAAGTGTGTGAAGAAAAACTACTTTCCACAAAGTAAAATACAGAATTCTAATGTCTAGTTTATTCAAGATAAAAGCCAAGTCATTTTATCTACACAGGCTGTTTTCTCTGAGCGGTACAAGCATTTTTAGGATAAGCCAAAACCATGATTGTGATTCATATTGGATTAATTGTGTAGTTTTGTTTCTGGTGTTTATGAGTGTATGCGCGTGCACCGGTAGTGTTTCAGGTGTTTCTGTAATGACACAGGCTCTTGGCAGAAGAACAGTATGATTCACAAACCTGTTTTGCGTCAGGCTCCTCAGCAAACAAGCAACTACACTGTGGATTCATTTTTAAAGTAGTTTGTTAGTAATGGTTGATTATTTAGTTTTTAAAATGTCAGAAAATAGTAAATAAATAAAAAAGTAATACTGTTGATAGATGATTTTACCTAAATGTTGATCAGTCCTAACAGTTATTACTGGACAATGACTGACTGCTTCAATTCTTTCACTTTGTTTGTTTCACTTTCTGTGGCAACTTGAAACATTTATTTTTAGGGCCCAACAATTAATTGAACGCTAATCACAGTTAATTACAATACCCACAATTAAACAACATTATTAAGTGTGACATTGTTGGTAAAAAACACTCTTCAGAACTCTGCTCATGAGAACAGCTCATGCAGATAAAATGACTTGTTTAAATCTGACACTGCAACGCTTTATTTCATCCTTTCGGGGCAGTTTTTGGTCCCACACTCTGAATTTCTGTCCTGCAGTACCTGAGTGGAGACTAGAGACTTCTCTGTGCACAGTGCTACAGCCTCCTCGCTCGTTACTGTGGCCTAAATGTGAGGCATTTCTGTAGCTACGTGGATGTTCTGGGAATAATTCTATCTATTTTTCGCATTGAGGAGATTTGCTTATTTCAGGTAAAGAACAACCTTATTTCAAGTCTTATTTTGAAGTAAATATTTGTGTACTAACAATAATGTAGCACAAGCTGTGCTCTGTTTATTTAAATGTGAAAGTGTAGTAAAAATATTTCAGCCCTAAAATCAATTATTGTGATAAATAGTCATGATGTCGATATTGATCATAATAATCTTGATTATAATTTCGACCACAATCAATGTTTTGATAGCAAATTAACAGCATGTGCTCAGCTTACTAAACAACCTCTGCTGCTCCTACTTTGGGATTTCTGTTGCAAGAACTGATGCAACAGTAATTAGAAATATCCTTTTGATGTAACTGTTGTTTGTATCTTGTTAAGTATGTATAAAAGTACAGTGTGGAGTTTGCATGTTCTCCCCGTGCAGCGTGGGTTCTCTCCGGGTTCTCCAGCTACAAGTCTAAAAACATGTTGAGGTTAATTGGGGATTCTAAATTGTCTGTAGGTGTGAATGTGAGTGTGTTTGGTTGTCTGTGTAGCCCTGTGATAGACTGGCGACCTGTCCAGGGTGTCCCCTGCCTTCACTCTGAGTCAGCTGGGATAGACTCCAGCCCCCCCACGACTCTAGTGAGGATTAAGCGGTTTATAGATAATGGATGGATGGATGAATGGATTGATGGGAAATTAGTAAAATACTGGTTTAAAAAAGTTATACTACTTTATTTCAAGCCTTCATATACAGAATTTTTCTTTATATTAACAGTAAATATCTGTAAAACGATGATATTTTTGCTGATTTAAATCAAATAAAACTGTAATTTTATGGTCACACAGTGCAAAAGAATTAATTACTACTTTTTGATGCATTATTTACTTTTTTTTCAACAGTTAAAGTATCAATATTACCTTTTTAAATGATTACTGACAAATTTGAGAAAAAAGGGTAAAATCTGTAAAGTAATAGCAAACTGTTTCTAAATACATTTAAAAAACATTCATTTTTGTACGGTGCACCCCGTGTTTATGATCTTCTGCGTATTAAATCTGTGCATCCACACATTTATGTATCCATACACTAACCACGTAATTGCAGAAAAGATGAGAAGGACAAATTGCTCACGAGTTCCCTAGCCTCTTACATCCTCCTTTTATTCAGTGTCACCAGTGTAATGTGGCATCTGATGACACTTCCACCCACTTCCCTGACGCCTCTGTGGGGCTGCAGCAGTGATGTGAGCGCTGGCATTGTGGCTAATACTAGAGATTGAGTTGGGCTCTTGCAAGAGAGACAGCTCATCAAGCTGGGGAGCCAGCCAAGTGGAGTGTGACAAATCTCCATTTACCTTCGGCGCACGGGGGCAAGGGTAAAATTAGAAACTCTGCTGCTTCTAACTCCCCGCTGCTAATTCCATTTCGTGCAAATTAATAAGTGTTTTTGTCCTCCTCCCCTCGCTCCACCCCCACCCCTCGCTGCCTCTCCCTCCCTCATCTGCTCTCCTTGACGAATTGCATTAGCTCAAGGAAAAAAAGGAGCTCATACACTAGTAATGAGACATTGTTAGGCAAATCCCAAGTCAGTTCCAGCATTGTTTATGGAATAAATGCCTGATTATCAGCTTGGGAAGTGCGTCTGTGTGTATGAGAGAGAAAGCTGCACTGCTGTTGGCTGCAGGGCAAGATACAACTTGTTTTATGCTGTTGTTGTTCTTTTGTCATCATCATTACCATTTCCTATTTGACAAGAAAAACACTCCTGATAATTTGGCAATTCATTATAAGAAATGACCCATTGTGAACTGAAGCAAGGCGCAGAATGCAGCAGTATGTTAATGGTCCTCTGGTGAAGGGCTCTCTTGTAAATGGATGTGTTTTCCTGTGAAATGTACACTAATAACCATGTTTTGTTCACTGAGAACACAATTTGTTGATGATGATATGCTATCCAACATGGCGACCTGAAGTTAAGCTTTAAAATTCACATTAACATAGAAATATTTTTAACCATCTGATTAATAAGCAGGGTTTCCATCCATTTCCATTCATAAAATCTGCTAAATAAAACACAAATTTATTCACCAATTAGCCCCAATTCTGCGATTATACGATGGCAGATAAAGAGGGAGCGATGAGATGAGCAAAAGAGCATCAGTCAAACCTCAAACAAGGTCAAACAAATGGAAATAGAGAGTTTAGAAGAATTAATGTTACATATACGTGCTCCTGAGTGAGTTCTGGTAATGCTGGACTCTTGGGTGGCATCTGAGTCATACGATTTCTGTACAACATCATTTATTTGATGAACCTGCTTTCACAGTGCTTAGTTGCACACACTCTCTTTCCCCAATATTTTTATATTTTTTCCACATAATTGTTTCTACTGATGCGCACATTTTGAAAATGTGCATAAAAACAGCTGGATGGCAGTGAAGGTTAGGTAAGAAGTTTTCTTTCTACACTGAAAAAATAAAAAAAAATAAAAAAACTAAAACAAAAAACAGCATTCTAAATTTAAACAATTTACTGTTATTTTCAATCTACTGTTAAATTACAAAAATCAACCTGTAAAATTAAGTTTATCTAGGTACAGCTAACTGAAAAATGGCCAAAACTGTAAATAATGTATTCCTTCACAATATTTGACTATGCATTTTCTTTCTACTGTATTTAAATCAGCAGGAAATATAATTATTTTACAGATACAGGCCATTATTTGAAATCCTCATGAGGATCGCTGACCCTATACACCGTCTAATCCTCACTAGAGTCGTGGGGATTTAGGAAGCTGATTTAGGGTGAAGGCAGGGGACACCCTGGACAGGTCACCAGTCCATCACAGGGCTACACTTAGAGACAGACAACCAAGCACACTCACATTCACACCTACAGACAATTCAGAATCATCAATTAACCTCAGCATGTTTTTGGACCTTGTGGGAGGAAGCCGGAGAACCCAGAGAGAACCCACGCTGCACGGGAAGAACATGTAAACTGCACACAGAAAGATTCCGGTGCCCCCACCGGGACGCGAACTGGCGACGTTCTTGCTGTACGGCAACAGTGCTAACCAAATGCGCCACCATGCAGCCCCCATATATTAAATGTATATTCAATTCTGTATTTAAAAATAATACTAAAAAATATATTTTAGGTGTTATTTTGCAGATCTTCAGTGTTTTGGTAAATTACAGATAATATGTAAAATCACACATTAAAAAATGTTAATTTGCATATTGGCTGTTTTTATGTTATTTTTTACAAACAGTTCATTCTGTCCCAATATGTGAACACAAAATTAGGTTGTTTTATTGTATTTAAATCAGCTAAAAATATAATTATTTTCCAGATATTTGCAGCTATCAGCTATCGAGGCTGACTGCAGAACGTTTTTTAAAACACTTTGTTCATTTTACAGTTTTCCACCAATGTTTAACATACTTTTTCTGGCACTCTTTTTTTTACAGTGTGGCTCTTGTTTCCAATCTACAGATCCAGAGATTGCATAAAGTTTCAGAAGCTAGTAAGACTGCAACGTAAGGATTTCAGTTATCTAAATTATGCATCACAAACACAGCATGCACCAAGAAGTAAAAAATATAACAAATACTCTAATTTCCCATCGGCAGTGAAATGAAGCTAGAATTGTAGCTTTCTAGTGTTACGCAGCGCTACTGAATGCTCGACACAGAAAGTAAAGATTTAGGATTAACCAATACAACCTTTAGAAATAGATAATGATCCCTTATCGTAGCTTAAGCACCCACTCATATCCTGGCAGTGCAGGATTTACAGTAGCGGCTGAACCTATCTCCCTAATAGGTCTGCGATTAGCGGACTGCAGTGGATGGAAAACATACCGGATCAATAGAGCACCGGAGAGAATCAATGGGTTTCTCCATTGTGAGTCTCTACGGCTGCTGCCTCCCATCAGGCTCCTTTACAGCTTTGTTAGTCCACCATTAACCATCATCATAAAACGTGCATTTCTGCTCTGTCACAGAAAGAGATGTGTTAATGGCGGGTCGCTAATGAATTTGAATGGTGTGAATTTAGCTCCGTTTCATTACACAGTTTTATACGTTAAGTGAAGAAAAGGCTATTCCTGATGAAGTAAATCGGCAGGGAGGTAGATGCAGAGCACTGCTGCTAAACTGGAACTGATTGCTGCCACTGGACAAGAAGGGAATGGACTTACAAATGGAAATGATCCGAACACGCGGTTTGATTCGATGGTTGTGCAGTCGTGTGCCACTGCTCTGTAAAACAGCAGGTCATGGTGTACAGCTGTAGAAATGTTGGAACTCAGATGCCTTTTCTACACTGAACATATAAAACGGTGTAATGAAACAGAGCTA